GCAACCTCCTTCAGAACTTCTGAACCTCTATAAAGCATCCCTCTGAGAATTTCTGTTGTCATAACCAAACAACTTGCATTTGGAGACAGAGTAACATCACCAGTCATTAAACCCACGTCTTTGAACTCTTGTTGCAATTCCCTGTACTTCTGGTTACTCAAAGCTTTCAACGGTGAAGTATATATGACTCTCTGCTTATCTCTAAATGCCATAGCAATGGAATACTCTGCAACTGCAGTTTTACCCGCTGAAGTATGGGCTGAAACCAGAACTGACTCTTTTCTTTCCAAGCACGCCACTGATACTTTCTGAAACGGGTCAAGTTCAAATTTGTAAGTCTTAGCCACCTCTCCATTGTAAACTGGATTTAAGAGGGTCCCATGAATTGATTCATCTTTTGTTGAAGTATACCCAGGCGGAACTGCAACCTCATGCACACATCTACGAGTTGGATTTCTCTTGTTCGATGCAGATCCTTGCCTTGGAGTTTCCCTAACTTCCAATTCTTCCAGCGATTTCCGTTTCCCCAGCACAGTTGATCCTTCCATTTTAAGCACTAAAACTTGTCATACACATCTACTTCTAATATAATTCACCCCAAATTCGAACCCCGTTTTGAAATTTTGATACAGCTTGTTTCTGCTGGAAGAAAAAATGAAAAATAAATAAATAAATAAAATTTTTTTGATTGCCACAGCATTATACAAATAAACACATAAAACAGCTACTGTAACAAGCTGCGTGAAAAACAACAAAGTATGAGAAATTATCAAATTAAACATCTACTGTAACGAGCTTCTGTTACCCACCTCCCTCTAGAGGAAAGCTAAATTGCATTATCAGATAAAGCACTAAAGAACTGAAAAACCTAAACCATTTTTATTTCTTACAGATAGTCTTGTGTATTCACCAGTATGGTGGGGGCTGTAACCCTTAATTATAATGCGAGAAGGCGCCGGAAAATGGAGGAATTCACAATACAGAAGAGAGAAAAGGTGGACAAAAGTTCAAGTAAGGATTTTTAGAAAAGGGTTGTGCATGATTAGCAGGAAAACTCCAGGCTGAACCAGACGATGGTGTTGATATTTTGACTTCCGTTTTGGAGAGTAGTTGTCGCTAGGTAGTGTGGCCCAATATTTGAATATGGACCAGGCCGTTGTCCAGGCCTATCGCAATACCCCAACGAAATTTTTTTTAACATTTTTCTTTTTTTTTTTTAATATGAACTGAAATATGATAAAAATATATATATAATTTGAATACTGAAATTATTAAAATATTTTTAATTTTTATTTGGATGAAGATAAGTAAAGGAAAGGAAGTGAAGGGAAGGAAAGGAAATGGAGGAAAAATAGAGAAAAGAAAAGAATTAATGCTAAAATTGTTTGGAAAAATGAGATGGAGAGGAGAGGAGGAGAGGGTAATATTTTTATTAAATTAAATAATTTTTTAAAAAATATAATATAATATAACATAATTAAAAATAAATAAATAAAACTCCCCTATGGTGTTTAGGTAATTTTAGTAAGAACGATACACCTATCTATGGTTTGGCTAAGCAATGGAGCACAAAATGCTAAAGCAATTTTCTCGAGAAAATGACAGAAAATCAATTGAGATGAAACTCTGAGTTCAAGCATTCTCTGTCACATCTCCTTTCCTTTTCTCTTTGGTGCTATGTACTCAGTATGAGTCTCCCATCAGAATCTGATAAACCTAGGCACAGATCCTGCGTACCACTTGTTTCAAAATAGAACACGATCCTGTGTTGAACAAGCATTTGCCTTTACAAATAGGGAGAAAAAAATATACAACTTTACAACTTTGTTTATACACGTGAAACTAAGCCATACAAATAATCATCTTCTTTTCTACAATGTTGCAAGATCAATATATTAATGACTTCACTAACATGTATCAAAATAAAGTTCATCAATTTTGGAAAAGGGGTGTGACTGTGACCAGTTTCTTCTGCATCTGGTCAGTGCTTTACACATCATGGAGGTAAAAGCTTCAGGAACACCCAGGTGAAGGGCTATCTAACTGCCCAAAATGGCCGTACTTTCTTTGCCCTGATTGCTTCCTTCAGCAACATGGTAAGTTACTGGAGAAAGGCCTAGATGTGGAAAAACATGTACCTTACAGAAAGGTATGAACAGAATCCCATAAATTACTTGAGCTTTAGTTTCCATCCAAGGAAGAACAACTGTTAGCACTTTGGTAAGCCGATTTCTGTGTTGCCTTTGTCAGAGCTGCTACAGGCTTGGTTTGGGAGGACGGAGTTGCCAAAATCTCCGTCTAAGCTCATTTGCTGGACTTCTTGAGGGGACAGTATCTTTATGTATCGAACACAAGTCACGAACTCCCTGAAATAGACCGAAAACAGAAAATGTTACTAACTACAACAATTACTTGAACTTCAGAAAGAGGAAATTTGCATGCAAATATGACAACACTGATGGCACCAGCAATATCATCTTGGCCAAACCTTCAAATAATGTAAAAGAAAATGTGAACCACTTCAACTTTTAAAAGGGAAGAAAAGAGCTTACTCCCAAGGGTCATCTCCTACTAGAAGGACATCATCTTCATGGTCCACATAGACAAGCTTCCAGCCAATTCTCCCTCTATCTTCCAATTGCCCCTCTATGCCAAACCTGTGAGCCAGATCTTGCTTAAGCTCATCATAACCTGAGTAACCAGTGACATCAATTGATCTCCCAACAGCTCCACGTTTGTACACCTTCATATAGTGAGAAAGAAAAAGGTTTATAACTTAGAATGGAGTGTGTTTATGGTGATATGTATTTGTTGGATGGTAGGAGGAAAGAGAAGTTTTGGAATGAAATTTGGAATAACAAACCTTTGTATATGTCCGCTTTCTCTGAAATTGCGTTGTGCAGGCCCATGGACCATGGTTTACAACACTACTGTCATTTATTGCTGAATCAATTGTATTATATGCCATATCTGGAACTGCAAATGACTGGGAAACCATTGAAGATGAGAGTTCTTGTTGAGCATCCTTCGAGTTCTTGTAATTGCTGAGCATTCCTCCCGGAGAGATGTTATTTGAGAAATCCTTTCCCAATCCCACCACCCCCTTTGGCGACAAAGTATCAGAGTTCACAGACATCATTATTTGGTCATCCATGTTCATCCTATATGTAAAATTGCTCCTTGTATCTGCCTGAACTTCCCCATCTTGACTCATATCTCTCAAAAATGCTGTTGGTGCATTGTAAGTCAATGAGTTCTGATTCTGATGTAATTGGAGATCATTCTGGGGGAGGCAGACTGAAGTTGAAGATGATGTGTCCAAATAATCTGTCTGTGTTGCACCATTGAAGTATGTTTGTCCAGCAATAAACCCCTGATTTTGACTGTTGGAAATATTCAACGAGGACTTAATATCAGATTTCTGCTGCAGATCCTTAATTATATTCACATTCAAGGAAATATTCTCATAGGTGTTAGGATTTAAGAAATTCACAGCAGACTGAGCCATGTCCTCCCCTAATCCTGTACTTTTCTGAACCCTACTGTTTATCATTGGATGAAGAATGTTTGAACACGTGTTTGTTGAAAATGAAGTGGAACAAGATGGATTGTCATCAGTAATCACAGATTGACCGGCTACAGCAGCTCCTGTTAACGCACTGCAACCAGCTGTGCAAAGCTGATTGGCTGTTGGGGATGGTAAGGGTCCCAAATGTCCTGGAATTTCAGCCAGCATTCCTGGTTGTTGCTGAAGCTTCAGGTTCTGTTGACCATAAGAGAACCTAGCATTTGCTTGGTTGTTACTTTTAGTTATCTTCTGTGCCATTACATAGGATTGAGGTAGTGAGCCAGGCATCACTTGAGACATTTCTGACATTTGTGTAGGATTTACAGACCTAGACAAGCTCTGAGAAACATCCAAATGCTGCTTTTGCTGATTTTGCAGCTGGGAAAGTTGAACAGGATGCTGTAGTGCAGACTGCTGAACCAAAAGGGGCTGCTTTTGCTGATTTTGCAGCTGGGAAAGTTGAACAGGATGCTGTAGTGCAGAGTCTGCAGACTGCTGAACCAAAAGGGGCTGCTTTTGTTGCTGAAGCTTCTGCAATATTTGCAACTGAATCTGGTTGTCAGACACTTGTAAATGTTGGCTCAGATCAGAAAACTGGGATTGCATTGGGTTTTGATGTTGATTTGGGATTGGGACCGTAATTTGTTGCTGCTGCTGTGGGTTTTGAGGAAGGTTACTTGGTAGCTGATGGGTTTGAATGGATTGTTGCTGCATCTGAGAAATGTTGTTATTTTGAACAAGTGTTTGAGGCTGAGGCTGCAAAACTTGGGCTTGAGGTTGACTACAGGATATAGTTTGACTGATCAAATTTTGCCTTGATTGCTGAGTTATATCACCTAGCTGTTGCTGCAACTGTGTGCTGGATCCCAATGGGTTATTCACCACAGATGGTGACTTCAGAAGTTGATCAAGCTGCTGCACCTGCTGAGATAGCCTCCGTTGATTGAACTGCATGTTGGTGGGCTGATGCATTTGTGGTGTAGAAAAACCCAACTGATGAGAAAGATCTGCTCCAGTGAGGTTCTGCAAAACAGACCCAGACAAGGAATGCGTGTTAGCCAGTGCAGGGATTTGTTGCATGTTCCTCCACTGGATCAAGCCAAACCCAGGCAGAGTCTGGGAATCCTTCATGCCCATATCATCTCCAAGCCAGGACATTGTTCCATTGAATAGGTTATCAAGATCATAGGATTCATCGTCTGCAAAATCACCATGAGAGAAGTCTGGCGTGATTTAGCCAAATTTAATTTAAAAAAAAAAAATTCCAAAAACCACACTGATATGAAAAACAAAATGAACTTCTAATTTTTTTGGCTTTTAATGGATAAAAGCATGGACATTTTACTAGATGAAGAAAACAGTGAACAGAAGCTAGAAGAATTCAATCACCATATTAGCACACAGGGACAACTAAACATTAAACAAAGCAAATAGAGTTAAAGGTCATAAGAACATAAGAAAGAGAATCCGTTAAACGCATGTCCTCTGCTCCTAATCAATAAAACTCTACACAGACCCACTTAATCAAAAGCATGAACACAGCAGGCCAGCATCTAATAGAAGGCAACAGGTATACCACCATGAGCTTCCCCCTTTATGGGCTCCGACCCAGCTCAACTTCGGATTAGTCAAACCCAATGTGGCTTCCAAATACCAGGGGGTTTAGTACAAAAAAAAAAAAAAAAATGGTATACCACCTATAACAAACTGCCTAGGCAACATCTGAGAAGGAATTTTGTTGCATAATAATACATTCATCAAATGCTTTTCGTAATATCAATGTTGAATGGAAGGTAGTACCTGGCATCCCAGATAACCTTGGACGTTTTGATCTGAAAAAAGGAGGGGTGCAGATGAAAAATGGAGTGGTCACTAGTTCAATCTCCCAAATGGAGACACGAGTACGTCTTTCACCTGTGGTTGCTTCATCCCAACCAACCTATTCAAGGACATGAGATAGTTACAGAGTTATCCACATCAATAACAGGAAAGATCAAGATGGCAATGCCAGAATGATACCTGAAGATTACGCCATTGTGAGTTTTTCCAGCTTACAGGATCAAGATCGCTAATACCTGTAATTGTACCCATATACCTGAAGGAAAAATGCATAAGGATTCCTTTAGTGAAGTTGAACACTTCTCTTAGAGACCAAAAGACTGCTTCTTATAATCATTGCAATGAAATGCAATTTCTTAATACTCAATAAACCACACCAAAATTAAAGTATAATGGTAAAGTTAGTATAGACGCACAGCAATTCAAATGCTAGCACATGCATTATCCTATATATTATACAAATCCAAGTCATCGTGTTTGAGATTTCTAATGTCAAACATAACAGACTTAATGTATCTTTCAAGTTTCAACCATTAGATTTTTGTCAATATTCAAAAGTAAACAAATGCTCCAATATTGCTACCTTCTTGTTTCTGATTCTTCAGTTTCAAACATCATACGGAAGCGCATGCCAGGTGATATTTGGTTTCCACACACTGCTTTATAGTACTTGGCCAATGGAATAACAAACTCTGATGGACTAGTCCTGCATAACAAAAGAAAAAATCATTTTGGATGACTGTCTCTGAACATAACTTTCTGTAACAACCACAACTGAGATAGAAGATAATAGATTGATGAATTATTGAAAATAATGCACTAGAAGGTAAGAGGTGGTTATAGACCTTGGATTATAAAAAACAGTAAAAGGACTGTTGTTTGCTGCTGCATGAGCAGCGGCAGCAAGGATGCCAATATGCATGCTATCACTCGATAACACTGATGATGATAGATTGGGAGGTTGCCTGTTAGCCCGCCTTATTCCTAGTAGAAGCTGCTGCTTTTCGTCTCTGCTTACAGGATTTAAACATTGCAAGAACAATAAAAGTGAAATTGTTGAATTTGTTCTCTAGCAAAAAGAACACAAGTTACAAAAAGCACTGCACGTGTGATGTGCCAAGGGCTATGTTCATATAAGAGAAATAAGATACCCTGAAACCAGCAATTGAAAATATAAATTCACTTAGGAAGATTAATTAATTTGTTCATTATCATTACCTAATAAACAGAACAGAGTCACCCGCCAAAAGCCTCTTTCCACTAACAAATAAACTCCAACCTGTAGTAAGCAAGTGACGTTTTGGTTGTCCTGCATTAAGAGAAACCAGATTTTTTGTCAGTTAGATTACATTAGAGTTTTCAAGTTTAAGGATGCAAAAGAACATACCACGAAAGATATGGCGGAAGTTCCACACATTGTCATGCAAATCCCTAGCCACAAGTTCTTGGGCCGGTGGTGTCATAGAAAAATCCTAACAAATGAGGTCAGAAAAAGAATTAAATCTGGAAGTAATGCAGCAAAACTTATCTCTTATGTAAAGGGCAGTTAAAGTTTTAACTACAATAGAAATGCTTACAAGAGGAGGGAAAATCTTCTCAGCTGCACGGCGGCGAACAGAGAAACCTCCATGAGTGCTAGTGTCACTTGCTGTCAGTGTTTTACAAAAAAATTCTGGCTGTGGTTTATTGGCCTTAAGAGAAAGATCTGATCTTAATAGTGCCTCCTTGTCAAACTGCATACAAGATGTTGATATATTCAGTTTGAGTCAGGAACTTAACCATTTGAGGTCACTTCTAAAGTTTTCATGATACAGAAATTTAAATATTTCCTATCATTTCACAAGGTGTCTGACTTTTTATGGTTCATGAAAATATGAAACAACTAAAGTGTAAAGCACATTCTACAATGAGACTGGAGGCTTATGCACAATTCTATCACAAATTTAGTGTTATGGAACTAGATCCTTACAGAAGGAACAGGCTGGAGTGTCATTTGTGCATATACTTCATCTGTCTCTGCGTCCGCCTACAAAATAAAACACAAAAATTTAGACATTAATAAGGAACTACTAAAGAAACATCTTATTTCTGAAAGGAAAGAAAAGGCCACATAGAGTGAGGAAGAGTACATGCAAGGTGACATTGTGAAGATGACATAAAAGCTTCGAGGGAAGATTAGGATAGTTCGGGATTTGCCTGTCCATATCTTTCTTCATAGATGCTGCAACCTGTCATTGCAGATTTCACAAAAGCCAGAACAGATGCTTAATTCAGAATGAAGGATAACATAAGCAAACAAACCAAAACATCTGTTGTACTGCATCAATGCAACCGAATATGCAATCTCATTGACTTTGAGTTTAACAACAATTTCTCCTTTTCTACTCAGTATTCCAATTTTAAACTTTACATTCTGCAGGCAATTCAATACCATTATATACCAAAATAAAAATAAAAATAAAGGCAGGGATATTATAAGAAAATGACATATATGAACCCTAAAAATGAGAAAACAGTAATTAAGGGCACAAAATTAAGAGATTTAATTTAGCTAACTTTCCACCACTGCCACTTGAAAATATATAAGAATGTAAACTTAAGGCCAAAAAGGTCAATTCACAACAAAGTCCAGGTATTTTCAGACTAGTGCCCTATTTTTACTGGCTGAATTGCATCTTAAAGTTGTGCAGTCCGGAACAGTCCGGACTGCACACACTTTTTGGTTTTCAGAAATAGGAGATCTGCAAACATTATATCTGATCTACCCATCATGATATCCAACTAATTAATGCAAAATTTAACAGCGCCGCACTTTTGATTTTAACACGATTCAATCCAATTTAAGTAATTTTATTGCCTAAAGAATTCAATTTAATTTTAATTTTTTTCAAAGAAATAACAAAGAGGAAAAGAGGGGAAAAAAAAAAAAAAAGTTCAATTACTGAATTGGAAAAAGGACAGAACCTACCTGCTCGCTGTGACCTTGGGGAAAGTAGACGACGTGAGTCCCGGCGGCCGGAAGGTTCACTAGCGGCCCCGCGCATGCCTGCCATAGCTCCGGGTTTATGCTCTTCTTCTCCGTTCCGCCACCTGCACCGCCGAGTGTGAGGCAAATATTAATCAAATCAGTTCCGCTTATTTTCTCTCTCTGACTTTCCCGAGACACAAACGGAAATTTTGCGAAAAGCTGAATGATTTACTCATAGATTGTTTGGTTCGTAAGAAATATCGCAGCAGAGGTGATAACTTTTTAGTCGATTTCCGAATGACGGACAAAATCGGCGGCAAGGATAACGCGGATAAAGCGATAAAGACAAAATACGCATTCCCCTGCCTGATCCAACGGTTCTTTCAAAGCTTTAATTAACAATACACATAGAGAGAAATAGCTCACCTTCAGCCGAATCCGGCACAGCGGCGGCAGCTCCGGCTTTATTTGGGGGCACCTTCATTGCGATTTTGATGAGATTCTAGAGACGAGGAGGGCACACTTTCACTTGTTCATCTCAAGTTCATCGATCCTCTTTGATCGAGAAAATCAATAAGCAAAACCCACAACAGCCTCCTCAGCTCTGGAACCAAGCTGGTGCCAAAACTGCTATCAGAGAATCCGAGGAGTAGACTCAGACTCTCAAAGTATATCTCAGAGTATATCTCAGATCAGCTACGGTTCGGTACTAAAAGATGACGACTTTTTTACAGAAAAATCTCCGCAGAGAGTGATAGAAAGGGAAAGAAAAAGGGATGAACGGATTCCGGCAGAGGAAGTAGCCGGTAAACGGAGAAAAAAGCAACCGTGGACCAGCCGACAAAGGGACCAAAAAGTTTAACAAAAAAATGTTTAAAAAAAGATGTATGAAGGGGAGATGCTGAGTGTCGAGGAGACCAAATGCTGCTATCTTCCCCTACAATGCCCAGACATTTCTCCTCCCTTTTCTTTTTTTCTCGACATTTGTGTCTTGAAATCGGAACTGAGCTGACTTCTGCGTCCTCCCTCGGGTTGACCTCTTCGAGTTAATTAAGAAGGTTATTTTTAAATGAATAAAGGTGCAATTAATAGGGTGTAAATATTTTTGTTCAACAAAATATATAAATATAATAATTAATTAATTAAATTTTTAAAAAATTAATACTAAAATTAAGAAATATTGATAAATAGTAAAATATCAGCATATTTAATCTTAATCAGACAGTATATAAGATTTAAATCTTGTTGGTTGTAATTATTTGTCTTGAGATTTTTAATATTAAAATATTTTTTTAAAATTTAAAATTTTGATAATTAAAATATTAAATTAATAATAAAAAATTAAAATATTACTAATAAATAGACCTGGCAAACGGGCGGATTGGGTCGGATTAGGGTCGGGTCAGAACGGGTAACGGGTCAAAACGGGTTGGGTTAAAACGAGTCACGGGTCAATGAAG